TTTGATTAAGTTCTATGTCAAATAAATCAGAGATCGAGAAACCTAAATGCTTGACTAACCATTCCATAGGATTGTCGGCATGATATCTAACAGAGGACTGTACGATCCCTTATCTAAAGGACAAGATTGATTAGATCAGAGTTGACAGCGTCTTTGAGAGCTACGATTGCAAACCGAATTGTACTTGTATAGTTACTAGACTTATCCAAGTGGGAGACTGTTGGAATAGTGTCTAAGGCTGCAACTATATTAGGCAAGTATTTGATCCGGTTGTGCATGGTCCTTTTGGGTTGCCTTCACCATAGCAACTTGATGGATGATTTGTTAAAAGAGAGTAAATATTATAAGGAATAATATATGGTTATTTGATTAATATAAGTCATAGATTAATTGGAATTAATTTGGTGACTTAAAGAGATTAATTAAATAAAGGGGTATAAACTGTCAATTGTTTGATAGTTAAACTTTAGACTATAAATCCATTGGGATATGCTTTGGACGAATTCTATGAGATATAGGATAGCTAAAATCGTCCAAAGGCTTATCTATGGAATGGATTTGGATAGCCTTAAGAGAAGATTATCCAATTAGGGTTTAGGTTGTAACCCTTAAGGAGTCTACAAGTATAAATAGACCCTAGGGGTGAGGGAATTCAACACACCATCAAAAGTAGAGATACTCTGGCTGAATTCCTCACCTCTCCTCTCTCCTAAATCATCTTGCTTGCTATTGGTGTTTGTAAGCCATTAGAGGAGTGACATTTGTGACTCTAGAAGCTCCAAGACAACAAGATCAACAAGGAACTCAAAGGTATGATTCTAGATCTGTTTCAATGTTGTTATTTAACCTAATTAGCCATTAGAAGTCTTGGATTCAAAGCATGTTTAATTAGAAAGCCTAGATCCAAGCATTAGGGTTTTGCATGCGCACATAGGAAAGTTCTTATGGCTAAAACCCATCAGATTCAAGCTACGATTGAAAGGTGGTTTGTTGAATTGTTGATTTTTGTGAAAATAGTGAGGTGGTAGTCGGTTGAACTGTTTACTAACTTGAGAAATAGACTTCTGAAATTCTTCTTCATCATCATACTCTAAGTCAGCTTCATATGACTGCGGTGTGATGTCATACGAAGGAGAGTAAGGTTGGTTGTGAGGAGCTTGTGCTACAAGAGTAAGTGGTCCTCCAAGGTCAGCACAATCTTTGAGTACGGTGGATTCTTGTGCTTACAATTCTCCATATAGCTTGTAGAGAGACATGGAATGAATATTTCTATCTCCTTGAACTATCATTTTAGCTGTAGTCCAATGTCTTCAAAACCCGTTGAGAAATTGAACGTTTGTTTCATGGTTACTGCGGATGGTGCCAGCATTTGATAACTTAGTAACTATTAGATTGAATCTTTTGAAGGAGTCCTCTAAACTTTCACTAGCATGAGCCTTGAAGTTGTTGAATTCATTGAGTGCGGTTGTGAGCTTCTTATCTTGAGCTTGTTCTGAACCTTCATACAAGTTCTTGAGAACATCCCAGATCTCTTTTTCTGATTTACAGTTTATGATACTGCCGAAGTTGTCAGGAGCAACTCCACAAGAGATTTCATAAAAAGCAACAACATCATTTTCCATTATATCGAGATCGTCCTTGGTGGGATGGTTCAGGACTGGTTGTCCTCCTCCTAGTCTGGCTGTGGTGCCATCAGTTTGAATAGGTGTAAGAACAGGGACATATGGTGTGGCATCCCTAATTTCACAGCTAGAAAAGACCGATTTTTTTGTTTATGCTTGTTTGAAAATCAGAGTAATATTTTACATAAAAGTGTTTGCGGAATTTTTTCCCAAAATAAAAATATATTAAATATTTATCAAAGCATTTCCGTAGAAATGAATTTCATTAAAAAGACTCGGGATGTCATGTTCGATATAGATCAAAAGCATAAACAGTACATTATAAGCCTTACGACAGTTATTTACAACTACTGGCCTCTAATCTAAAAATCCCTCATCATCATCCAAATTATGCTCTGGGTCCACTATCTGTAAAACAGAAAGCTGAGTGGGTCAGGCTTGGGATCCTGGTAAGCATATAGGGTTTTCAACCCACAAATATTAATAAATTTATTAATTACATCGACCAACAATAAATTTATTAATTTCATCAAACCAATAATAACCCTGATTACTCATTCCCATTATCCTCACTTTACGTTCCTAAACACCTAAATAAGGAACCTATTTGAAGGATTTTATCATCAGGATGAACTTTACTGCTAAGGGGATTCCTCAGCCATATATGTCCGTAAGGCAACCATGTGGGGGATGGAGTATACCGGTGAACATCAAGCCCACAAACACCTACATGTTGCGAGCCTGCTAGCGTTCCACTGAACTGTCTAGAAGAGTCTGTGGTCGTCATCCATACTACGCTAGATGACTGGAACAACAACAACATCGAGGCCTCTCATCATTTTATCACACACCAACTATTTCATCTACCCATGTTATACCCAACATATTTGTACATAACATATATATATATATATATATATATATATATATATATATATATATATATATATATACAGTTTAGAACATTTAAAAACTTGTATAAACATTCATTCAACAGCCATCTCAAATAAACAATCAATATATATACACATAGCTCGTACTTATATAAAATACATCATATCTATATGTAAGATGAAAGTGACTATACTCACTTGATTAGACGATGGATGTATATTTCTGACTTACGGAGTAATTGAATAATTGGAGGGTATGGATATCTTAATTTGATGGACACGTATCACCTACAAACTGCATTCCATTATCTATATGTTACATGTATCATTACTTTTTATTTTAATATATCTCTCTTATTGGCCAATTGTCCATGTACACGTTATTTAGGGGTTTTCTCTATATTCATTTTTATTTGGATGTAAAATATTTATAAATAATTGTTTAGAGTAATATCACATAAAACGTCTATTTTGTTACAATTACATAAGTTGATCTTTTATATATATACACGTAGTTTGTAAGAATCATAAGTTACATTTATATAATATAAAATCAAATTAGTATTATCCTTATATCAAAATATCACCAAATAATTAATAAATATTATTTTACGACTATCTAAATTTAATAATTGATGAATAACATCGTAAAATATATCGTCAAAAAACGAGTGTAACATAAAAATACCGTTTTATTACATGGGTTTACTTTTGAATGTATTTAGACTAAATACATCTTATATAATTTGAGATTTTCTATCGTTATAATTTTCGTTAAGATTATTTATCTTAAATAATCTTTTTATTTTTTTAACGTTTATTTTCTACGCTTATTTTTATTCTTAATCTATTAAATCTGAATAATTAAGTAAATAAACATATAATTTACATAATATTCACATAATTCCTCTTTATTATTTTAAAACGAGTTACAAAGGTTGACCTAGACTATTTCACAATTATTAAAGCTTTTAACGCAGAAACATGGGTGTTACAATTGTCTCCCACTTAGGATGATTATGTTCCCGGAATCACACATCAACAAACAAATGCGGGTGGCTACTCATCATGTCACTCTCCGTTTCCCATGTGAGATTTGGCTCATTCGTATGTTTGTATTACACAAGCACTAAATCGACCGTCTTGCATTGCAACTTTTTAGTCTTACGGTCAACGATTGCATCTGGTTCTTCGATTAGCCTCTTGCTTTCATCCAGCCTTAACTCAGAAATTGGAATTATGTCGGGAACATCTCCCATGAATTTCCTCAAATAACACACATGGAAAGTGTTATGAATATCATCTACTTGTTCTAGTAGTTCTAGCTTGTAAGCTTAATTCCCAATTCTCTGAAGAATTTTAAACGGTCTAATAAACATTGGACTCAACTTTCCCCTTTTATAAAATCTTATAAGTCCTTTCCACGGCGAGACTTTAAACAAAACCGAATCACCAACTTCGAATGTTATCGGTTTTCTTTTCTTGTCTGCATACTCTTTTGACGATCCTGAGTTGCTAACATCCTTTCCCAAATCACTTTTAACTTTTCAGCAGTTTGATGGACTATCTCAGGTCCCATAAACTGCTTTTCTCTAGCTTCAAGCCAACATGACGGCGTTCGACACTTCTGTCCATACAAAGCGTGATAAGGTGCCATCTTGATGCTTGAGTGGAAACTATTATTGTAGGAAAATTCTACCAAAGGTAAATGTTCATCCCAGTTACCTTGAAAATCCTCCAGTGTTTGAATCGTTCGTTCGCTCTGACCATCGGTTTGCGGATGGTAAGATCGATGTGAATCGACTATCACGATCCGATACAATAGTTAAAGGCACACCGTGAAGTCTTACTATCTCCTTCACGTAAGCATTAGCAAGTTTATCCATAGACCATTTCTCATTGGATGCTACGAAATGTGCACTTTTCGTAAACCAATCAACGACCACCCAATTCATCTCGTGACCATTCTTTGTTCTGGGTAGTTTAGTCACAAAATCCATGGTGATGTCTTCCCATTTACCCATAGGTACAAGTAAAGGTTCTAAACTCCCATACGGTTTCTGATGTTGTGCATTAACTCTCGCACATGTCACACACTCGGCCACATACTTTGCAACATCGAGCTTCATCGTAGGCCACCAATACTAGGGTTTCAGATCCCTATACATTTTAGTGCTACTAGGATGAATTGAGTGCATGGTCTTGTGAGCTTCTTCCATCAGAAGATCTCTTATTCCTCCTGTCTTAGGTACCCACACGACTAGAAAAATAGCCTTTTACGACGCGCAAATTACGACACTCATTAATATATGTTACGCATACGAGAGTGACATTAAAAAAGTGTCATCTCTTCAAAAAATTTAAGGATTTAGGTCACGCATTGTTGCGTGCCTTTAAAATAGTGTTAAAAGAAAAAAAAATTAAAAACATGGAGGGCGCTGTACCTTAAATGCGCGCCCTCTATATGTGTCGCTTTATAATTTTAATGAACGCGCGTTCCTTAGTTACAAGCGGGAAAAGAAAAGCCAAAAAATTAGAAAAGCCCGCTACCCTCCCTGCCCTAAGCATTTTCACGCATCTTTCATTCTCCTCACACTGTTGTGCAACTTCTCAATCAAAGATCGAAGGTTACGATTTCATCTCCATCTCTCGACTTCATCATCTCAATCAAGAAAAAGGGCTTCTGATTTCCATTCATCTACTTCATCGTTCCTGTAATTTCACATTCTTCATCTCTCTGCTGTTATTGAGAATACTCGCCAATAGTTTTCTTATTCCCCACTCGATGTTGAAATTTTCAGAAAAAGCCCTAATTAAGTATTATACTCTCAAGTCTCAATATTAGAATCCAAATATTGATTCTCGTTTGTTTCTTATTCCCCACAGATAAATCGAAAAAGGGGAATTATAATGACGAAGGTAGCGGGAGTTTTGGTCCGGTGGTCGTGGTTCATCTATCGAGAAAGGAAGATGGGAACGCAAGCAGCCATGGTGGCTCGATGATGGAAATCAATCGAGAAAGCGGAAGCACCTCTGGTGCGGGATCGATTTGACAAAAGGAGAAGGGAGAAGCAGCGATGCTTCTCTTGTCTGCCACAGCTTGGGGGCAGGGGGGGGGGGGGGAGGTGCTCCGACGGTCTCCTTGGCTGTTCTTCCTTGTCGCCAGCAGATTACATGTAGGGAGGGGACTCAACTAGTCCGATGGAGTAGGGCAAGTAACGACTGGTAGATCAGGATGATCGATCTATTCATGAGGAGGAGGAGGAAATTATTGGTTCTCGGTGAGCCTTCCTTGGCTTCTTAGACTCCGTCATCGGTAGAAATCGGAGGACCTTTGGGGTTTGGACAGATCGAAGGAAGAAGAATGAAGAAGTGGTAGTCTTTGGTGATTGAAGGTAAACGGATGGGGTTTTCTTGAACCACATAGGTCGTATTCTTTCTTAGATTTAATGCTTTCCATGAATCTTTTTTGGTGATTCCAACACACACATAAATCAGCATTCTCTCAAATTTCTTTGAAAATCCAATTGTTTACTTGAACTTCCATCTAATTAAAGCCATTGGTAGAAGCCTTTCATCAGCTCGAAGTTTACAAGGTTTTGTGTTTTTACTAATTTTGACATTTGTGTTATCTTCTTTGAATTGTAGACAGTGGACAATGATCTTGCATTAAAAATTTACATAAAAGCTAGAGCCACCCCCAAAGTTGTTGCAGCTTTTGCTGAAAGAAGGGTGTTTGATAAAATTCTGATTTACTCCAAGCAGGTATGCTGCATATCTTTAACTGCAGTAGTTTACTAATTTCTCTACATTTAGTCTTCATCTTGCTTTAGATCCTTATAAAATTGTCTTTAATTCACGCATGTTAGGTATTCACCTGATTATCTCTTCCTTCTGCAAACAATTCTTCGATCAGATCCTCAGGTATTAAACATCCATAAGAGTTTTTTTTTTTTTAATTAATAAACTGAAATTGGTAGGACCCATAAATAAGCTCAGTGATTTACTATAATAGAAATATGTTGAGGTTTTTGGGCTGTTGAGTTGGTGCTGATGTGGCACAAGAAATAGTGAAAAAGTTTTACTATTATAAATCCTCTATTCTCAATTTGGATGACATAAATATAGGTGCATGGAAGTTAGATCATTAACATAATTGTTTTTTGCAGGGTGCTGTAAATTTTGCTTTAATGATGTCCCAAATGGAAGGAGGTTGTCCTGTTGATTACAACACCATTACAGATCTTTTCCTTCAGGCATGTTAACAATCCTTATAACATTTCATAAACAGTTTTAAATATTTAAATAAATTACTTCTTAGTTAAACTAATTTTAAACATTTTCTTCCATATCCTCAGAGGAACTTGATACGAGAGGCAACAACTTTCCTCTTGGATGTTCTTAAACCCAATTTACCCGAACATGCTCACCTCCAAACCAAGCTTACATATATGATATATCCTCACACACAATTTATAATCACCTTTTCATTAAACCAACTTTAAATTCATTCTTCTTATTTTCCACAGGTCCTTGAAATCAACCTTATAACATTCCCTAATGTTGTTGATGCCATATTAGCTAATGGGATGTTCAGTCACTATGATCGCCCTCGAATTGCTCAACTTTGTGAGAAAGCAGGTCTTTATGTCCGGGCCCTTCAGGTTGGTTAATGTCCAGAATTTACTTGTTTTTTTTATATTTTTTTTTTACCTTAAAACCTCTATCACTTGTTTGATTTATTTATTTATTTATTTGCAGCATTACAGCGAGTTGCCAGATATCAAACGTGTCATTTTATTGGTCAATTTAAGAGGAAACCTTCAGATCATCGTCCAGGTAACAATTGATCTGATTTTTCTATGTTAATGGTTATTATTTGAACATCAGAGTTGAACCTATTTGGTACTGATACTATTGTTTGGAATGTAGGTTGCCAAGGAGTATTGTGAGCAGCTGGGTGTTGAATCATGCATTAAAATTTTCGAACAATTTAAATCATATGATGGCCTTTACTTCTTCTTGGGGTCGTATTTGAGCTCAAGGTAATCTCTTTCTCTTCAGATAACTTGGATTTTGTCTTTCGTGCTTGCATACTTCCAATTTTACCAACACCAATCATTATCACAGTGAGGATCCTGACATACACTTCAAGTACATCGAGGCAGCTGCAAAGACAGAGCAAATCAAGGACGTTGAACGAGTAACACGGGAATCAAATTTCTATGATGCTGAAAAGACCAAGAATTTCCTAATGGAAGCCAAGCTTCCTGATGCAAGGCCATTAATCAACGTGTGTGATCGCTTTGGCTTTGTTCCAGATCTCACTCACTACCTTTATACCAACAACATGCTTCGGTATATCGAAGGTTATGTTCAGAAGGTATAAAATATTAAAATATCACCACTCATTCAATTCCATCCAATAAAATTTCAAGTATATCTAAAGACTTATCTGTTATCTTTATAGGTCAACCCAGGGAATGCTCCCCTAGTTGTCGGACAACTCCTAGACGATGAATGCCCCGAGGATTTCATCAAAGGTTTAATCCTATTCGTTCGATCTCTTCTTCCAGTCGAGCCTCTTATGGATGAGTGTGAAGAAAGGTTTGTTTTTTCTTCTCTTACTTGTATTTATCCTCATACTGTTATTAACATATCAATTTGTTTTAAATCCTACAGGAACCGACTTCGTTTACTAACTCAATTTCTAGAACACCTAGTAAGTGAAGGAAGCCAAGACGTCCACGTCCACAACGATTATATAAGTTTTTATTGAGTCTCTATTTAATTGAAACTGATTTTAATTTTTACATTCTTTGGTTGATTTTTGGATTACCAGTTTATTATAGGGGATGGAACAAAGATGTATGATTTCACATATGTTGAGAATGTTGCACATGCTCATGTATGTGCTGAAAGAGCTCTAGCTTCAGATGGATCTGCCTCAAAGAGAGCTGCAGGAGAGATAATTTAAATAAACGTTTTCAATTTTACTTGAGACAATATAATATATGGAGTTTTTATTATTTTTTAAATTTCTAGGCTTACTTTATAACGAATATGGAACCAATAAAATTTTGGGAGTTCATGTCACTTATTCTTGTTGGGATTGGGTTTGAATGGTATATTCTTGATTTTTGGTTTGTTTTCAAGGTAAGATTAAAGCTCCACTTTGTCTTTATTTCTGATTTTATGTAGTTTGCAGGCCAAGAATCAAGATTCCTGCATCTATTGCAATAATCTTTATTTATTTTTATTTTTTAATGTGTTTGGAATTGGATTAGTTATGATGCTTTGACCTAACTCTAACTTATATATTGTTTTGTTAAGCTCTAGATTCCAAAAATGAAAGTTGTCAGTGACACTAAAGACCTTAATTATCAAGAAACGTAGGATGATATGACAATCAATGTATGTGTTATAATTCATATGGATAGCGATTTTACTTTTCATGTCATTAATTGTTATTTATTTATTTTTTTGTTTGCAGTTTCTTGCAAAAACTTTGGATGTTGTTCAAGACATTGATTGGGTCATTTCTCTTGGAAATGCTTTTGCAAAGCAGTATGAGCTTTATACATATGATGATGAGCATTCTGCACTACTTCACAGGTATGAACTCATTATCATTATCATTACATTTTTTTAATTAAATTATCTTATTGAGAGTATTCTTCTCCTACAAATGTCTTCGTATACTTCTTCAGAAAGTTGATAACATGACTTATGTTCGTGATAAAATCGTCTGGATGTACAAACAAGCAAATAATCTAGATTTCAAGTATTCCAGCACCTTGATAATTATTACATTGCTATGTTTCACATTTAACCCTATTTTCTAATATTGTTTTGGTTGAACATGTTATTCCTCAAATTTTAACAGATTCTTGAATTGTGACTCACCCCTGCAGCTTTCTGAATGCAGGCTTATTTTGGTGCTGGATTAAGTGGAGTTCTGGCTTGGTGTGTGCGAGTGGGAAGGAACCAACCCAATGCCCCTGGAGTTCTGGCACCTTCCATCTTTACTTCCTATGTATCCAGGTTAATCTAATCGTATTAATTCATGTCTCAAAGTGTGTATTCCAATATCAGGTATCATGATTTGTGTATTTATAAAATTTTGAAATAAGGTCTTGTTCAATGCTTTAGCTGTGTTTGCTCTAAGGGAGATCAACTTATCAAAAGTAAGTTACTTTTTCACCCTTTTATTTAATATTTTTGTGATTGAATGAAAATCTTAATGAAAGTAATTGACAACCCTTTCTTTGTAAATGATGTTGTGATTGTGGGAGAGGTGTTGTGTTTTTCTCTGTTGCTAGGTAACCTTCTCAACAACAACATTCTACTTAAGCAGGTGAGTAATTAAGATTAAAGGAGACTTGTAATCATGTTTGACATTCCTTTCCAGTAACAAACAGAGTTATATGATTATTTGTTAGTTTTATAAGAATGTATAACCCATGTAAGCAATGTATTATTTTTGTTTAACATTTGAATGATTCTTTGTATGACATTATAATTTGTGCAATTTATTTTATTTTTTGAGTATGAAATTTTATTTTATATTATGCAATGGATTGTATTTTTTGTATATGGTATTTTATTTCTATTATGAGAAATTAAATGCAAATTTAATTTAAAAATTAATAAATATATGAATTTATTTTTTTTAAACATTTAAATTTACGATACACAAAAATGTGTGTCATCTTCATTTATGACATGGCCTTTCTTGACATGGGCTTTCTTGATACGCATTGCGTGTCATTAACACGCGCGTCGTAAGGTTACGACACGCGAATGCATGTCGTCTTCCTTTATGACAGGGCCTTCCTTGATACGCATTGCGTGTCGTGAACGCGCGTCGTAATTGCGCATCGTAAATGAGCGTCGTAAATGCGCATCGTCTCTCTTTATGACAGGACCTTCCTTGACACGCATTCGCGCGTCGTCTGAGCCTTTTACGACGCGCAATGAGCGTCATAAAAGGCTGTTTTTCTAGTAGTGCCAAATTCGATCTTGGAATACCTTCGGTCCTTGATTGTTTATACTGAACACTAACGTTTTTCACAAACGTTCTCCCTTTCGGTCATTCTTCTCTGAAGCTTCTTCCTGAGCTTTCTTTATACTCTCCACAATTGTTGAGACAACTTCAATTCTCAACGCTCTTGGCCTTTTCTTTTCAATGTTTACCTTCTGACTGAGAGCATTTGCGACAACATTGGCTTTACCGGGGTGGTAAAGTATCTCACAGTCATTATCCTTCAGTAGTTCCAGCCAGCATCGTTGCCTCATATTCAATTCCTTCCGGTTAAAGAGATATTGGAGATTCTTATGATCAGTGAAAATTTTGCACTTTGTGCCATAAAGATAATGCCTCCATATCTTTAGGGCGAATACTACCGCTGCCAACTCCAAATCATGAGTGGGGTAGTTCTTTTCGTGCTCTTTCAGTTGTCTTGATGCATATGCTATCACCTTATCCCGCTGGGTCAGAACACAAACCTAACCCAACTCCAGATGCATCACTATAAACTGCGAAGTCTTCATCTCCTTCTGGAAAAGAAAGAATTGGTGCTTCACATAATTTCTTCTTTAACTTCTCAAAGGCTTCCTTATACTTTTCACTCCAAGTATCAGTAGCTCCTTTGTGGGTCAAAGCTGTCAATGGAGCAGCTATCGAAGAAAAGCCTTGGATAAACCTTCTGTAATATCCAGCTAATCCCAAAAAGCTTCGAATCTCCGTGGGTCTTTCAGTTGTTCCCACTTCATTACAGCTTCAATTTTTTCTGGATCAACCATTCTTCCATCTTGGTTGATGACATGACTCAAGAATTGGACTTCCTGGATCCAAAAATCACATTTAGAGACCTTAGCATACAACTTCTCCTTTTTCAATACATCGAGGAATGGTTTACAAACCATATTCATCAAATCCATGAAGGCTGCTGGAGCATTGGTTAGTCCAAATGACATAACCAAAAACTCGTAGTGTCCATATCTTAATCTGAAAGTCGTCTTCTCAATATCCTGCTCTCTCACCTTTAGCTGGTGATATCCTGACCTTAGATCGATCTTCGAGAAATAACTAGAACCTTGCAACTGATCAAACATTTCATCAATCCTTGGCAATGGGTACTTGTTCTTTATTGTTGCCTTGTTCAACTCTCTGTAATCAATGCACATTCTCATGCTCCCATCCTTCTTCTTTACGAATAACATCGGAGCTCCCCAGGGTGATGAACTAGGTCTGATGAAACATTTGTCCAATAACTCCTGAAGTTGTGTCATAAGCTCCTTCATCTCTGTTGGTGCTAATCGGTATGGTGCTTTTGCTATTGGTGTTGTTCCTGGTAACAAGTCTATTTTAAACTCCACTTGTCTATCAGGGGTAATCCAAGAAGATCTCCGGGTAAGACTTCTGGAAAGTCACACACCACTGGTATCTTATGCACCTCTTTCTTTTCCTTTTTAGCATAGATCACAAATGCAGGATATGATGTGCATCCCTTGGCCAAACACTTTATGGCTTTCATTGTGGAGATGATTCCAGAACTCATTTGGCGTTTTTCCCCATACACCATAAGTGACTCTTTCCCTGGCGGATTTACTTTACTATCTTCTTCCCACACAATATTTCAACATCATTGGCGCTAAGCCAATCCATTCCTAGCACTATGTCGAAACCATTTAACTTTGTAGGCAATAATTCCTCGTGGAACTTATTCCCATTCAAGTCTGTGAAGATGTTTTTCACGCGATAGCTAACAGGTATAAACTTGCCACTAGCACCCTTGACAATTAAAGCATTATCTAGTCTATCAACAGGCAAAGCTAGTTTTCTACCAAATTAATGCGAAATAAAGGAGTCGTTGGCCCCAGAAGCAAACAAAATTTGGGCAGGAAGTTCATTTACAAGAAAAGTACCTGAAGCGACATCCACTTCCTCCTTTACAGCTTCAAGTGTCATTTGGAAGGCTTTAGCTATTGGCTTTGGTAGGAGATTGGGCCTTGCTTCCCCTTTCTTCTTTGGGCAGTCGCTTGAGATGTGCCCTTCCTCACCACACCCATAGAAAACTTTCTTGATGAGGGTGCATTCATTGGCATAGTGACCAGGCTTTCCACATCTAAAGCATGTGATATACTTGTTGGATTAATGTCTAAGTCCATAACTATAATTGGTAAGACTTGACCCGACCCGGCATGGTCCATTTGGGTTGCATACCATCATGCACTTGGATAGACTATAATGAGAGAAATAAGACACTTATGGTTATTAATATATTATAAGTTCTAGTATATCAATAATAAGAATAATAAGATTATTTAATTAGTATTGATCAAGAATTAATCTAGGATTAATTAAGTGATCAAAAGAAGACTAATTAAATATATGGGTTGATTGTGTAAATCATCCATACTTATATAGTGGGCTAATGCTCCATGGATAATCAAGTTGGGCTAAAACCCATAGGATGGTCCATGGATGCTCCATGGTGTATTTGAACCCATGGATCCAAGGAAATGGAAAGCCATGACAATTAAGGATTTACCCTAATTGTAACACTATATAATGATATTATTCTTGACAAAAATCGGCCACTAGTGAGAGTAACAAAAGGGCTAGCCGATTTCATGAAGTGTAGAACTCTCTCAAGTTATTCTAAGTGTTTTGATGATTGTGATTCCATTTGAGGCTTCCACACTATTGGGGCTAGGCACTCAAGCTTCATGAAGACTTTCTACATCAAAGAGGTATGTATTCTATCTTGTTATATTCATGTTTTGTATGATAGATTAGGATAATACCTTGGATATTCTTATTTGCATGTATAATAGAGAAAACATAGATCCAAGGTATTTAGGGTTGCATGTACACTTAGGAGTGTTAGAATGCTCAAAACCCAACAGTGGTATCAGAGCCTAGGCTTGTTTTCTTGTTATACTTGCAAATGGAGCTGAAAAATCGAGTTTTGATGCTGTTAGCCCAGCAGACTCGCCGAGTCCATGAAGGGACTCGACGAGTCCAAGGCAAAATGCATCCAACTCGCCGAGTTTTGTTCATGCACTCGACGAGTTGGACCCCAGACAGCATATTTTCGAGGTTTTTGGCTAGAAATGGACTAGGAACATTACCCTAAGTTGTTTTTGAACTTATAAACTTGTTTTTTAATGTGGTAATGTTCATGCTAATCCATTTTCAAAGATAATTGTCAATAGATTCATGTTTTGTATTAGTTTAAGGTTTAGACTAATTACATGAAGAAGTTTGATATGAATTATCTTGTTCTTATGAGTTGCTTAGATTAATAGAAAAGTTAATTGAAATAGTTGTTTTCAATCCATTTTAATCTAAGAGTTGAGTATAAAATGTGTTTGTGTAACTTGTCCTCAAGTTACATGAAAGTCACATTAAAGACTCATAAAACTCATAAAAGTTGGTAATGGTTACAAAATGAAGAGTCTTGTGTCATTGAATTTTTTTTTATGACTCCATAACTTGTCCTCAAGTTATGGAAATTCAAGAGTCACTTCATTAATAAATAAATAAATAAATAAAGTGTAACCTTAATTAATTCCATAAGTTATAAAAATAAAGAAAAGTTAATTCTTTTATTTGTTTAAAGTCTTCCATAAGTTATGGAACTTGAAGAGTTTTTGGATTAAAGCTACTTTAAACACATAAGTTATGGAATTAATTAGTTTTGAATAGTTTCAAAACT